GTATTTGCCAAAAGTAAAAAAATCACATCGACAAGATAGATAAATACGAATAACTAAAGAATAACTATAATTGTTGACAGAGTCCATAAATACTCTATAATTGTTGATAGAGTCCGCTTCTTTTTAAACTTTTGGCTTTAATCGAAGGGGTATACAAATCAACAATTTGCCCAACTCATCAATCCTCATTTTATGGCCAAATCATGGTCAAAAACAGTAATTTGAATTGCAAAAAAAATCATTAGATTTTATTTCCTTTTTTTATTAGTTTTTTTTGACAAAGACTAAAAAAATAGGAAAAAAATCACAGCATTATTAGAGAAGGTGCTCCCTTTACAATTTGACAAAAACACATATTATGCTTATAATAAATCAGAGCATTATCAAGATGATTGGCAATATGATTGGTAGGAGTGAGCATATTATCCAAACCGACCGTGTAACCGAGGTAAAAAAACCGAACTGCCCAAAATTTTCAGTTTCAGTTTCGGTTTCGGTTAGTAGATGTTTTAAGAGTCGGTCAATTTGATTAATCGGTCGGTTTTCGGGTTTGGGCTTGAATCATTAAACCCCACTGAATAACCGAACTATACCCAGCCCAAAACAGCAAATCCCAAATGGAAAATACCCAATCCAACTTAAATACCCAATCCTAAGCAACCCGAATGGGAAAAACCCAATCCTAAGCAATCCAAAATTCCCAAATTATGAAATTAGTGACACAGTACACCACCGTCACCACAAGTCCACAAAGTTAGAAAACGGAAAAACCCTATTCTCCCTCGTCGTTATCATCATTCATCAATTCTTCACTTTTTCTCCGTTTTCTGCGACTCTGCCTCGCCACTCGCCAGTCACCATCATCGACCAATCGGCCATCGTTGCCGTTGCCGTGGGAAGTTCTTATAAGACGCCCCAACCCCTATATTTAATACTCTCTCCGTTCCACAAAACTCTTCCTCTTTCGTTTTTTTGCTTTTCACAAAACACTTCCACTTTCTATTAAAAAACCACTTTTACCCCTACTTTTTCATACCCTATCTATCACATCATACTTTTTCACTAATAATCAAACTATCACACTTTACTTTTTCCTATCACATTAGGGGCAAAATTGGAAAATCAACCAAAATTACACTTTTCTTATTTTCCCCCAAAGTCAAAACCGGAAGGGTTTTGTGGAACGGAGGTAGTAGTTTTTTTTTCTATGCAAAGCCCAATTTCCCCATGCCCCTGCCTATTTTTTTGTATATGTAGTTCGGTTTATAATAATCGACCGAAACCGTTCGGTTAAAACGATTTTGGTTTTTTCAGTTATCCAATTCTATCAGTCGGTTTCGGTCAGTTTTTAGATAGTAAAAAACAATTCGGTTAGTTTGGTTTTCACCCGAAACCGACCGAACCGACTCGATGCTCACCCCTAATGATTGGCGAAAACACAGATTATCGAGAGAAAAAAAATCATGGAGTATAAAGATGTACGAAGAAGAAAAAGGAAGGAAAAGAAATAAAAGGAAAGAAAAGAATAGAGCAGAACAGCAGACGGAGAAAAAGAAAAAAAGAACTAGGCCGCTGGAAGGCCTCCATTCGTACGCGCCGGGAGGGAGTCCGTCGCCACCATTCGTAGCGCTTGCTTGTTCGCTGGAAACAGATTGTCTTCGCCGAGTTCCCCGTTTCTTTTCCCTGTTCGTTTAATTCGATTGTGGTTTGTTTAACTCATGAAACTATTGAGGTGAGTACGTGGACATCTGTTGAGGACCCGTCATGCGGTCCAAGACAAATTAAAATTTTAATAAGAACCATATTTAACCCCCAAAATATAATCAAATAAAAACTATAGCTAGGGCAAGTAAGGGTCGATCCCACGGGGAAAGTTTGTAATTTTAAATACCAATTAGCATGCGAAACGTTGTCAGTAAATAAAAGAAACTAATTACTACACATATTAGAACACTTATAAAACTTATAATAAAACTTATAACTAAATAAATATAAAAACTTATAAATATAACTTAAATAATCAGAGAATTTATGATATAACTTAAACACAACACAAAGGGGGTTGAATAAAAAAGTAAATATTCTTTTGGTTTTTTATTTTTCAAAACTTTTAGGTTTTTTTGATAAAATGGGGGGAAAAAAGCTCTAAAGATAATCATCTCCTCCAACAAAGGTAACCCAAGAAATACCGCCAAGAACCCGAAACAAAATGAAAAAGAGAATAAACACAAATTGAACATTACACGTATAGTAGGCACATAGACAATATATTACATAACTTATGCACTTAACAATAGAAAAATCAATCAAAGGCCGAGTCGATTCATTTCCTTAACCACGATATGGAGGATTGTCAACTCCCCACACGGCCCGGAGTCATGCAATTCAAAGGCCCATTGTGAAATATACCTTAGAACCCCAACTCACCAATCAAGCATGAAAACATACTTCCACTATAAAAAAAGTATATAAAAGAGCGAATTTTTTTTCATTCTAACTCTCATGCATAATCTATTCACAAACCGCCAATATCTTATGCATTTTAATAGACGTTTTCTCCTAATGAAGAGTACATTTCACAGATTTCCATGAACTTCTTAAACCAATTACGTTTTTTCTATTCACATAGAGGAACACAACATATTTTCAATAAATTGAGAATTGTTTATTTCACTTAAACAATCTCAATTTAAAGAAAATGGAAACAAAACCATAACATTACAAAATCACTCCATAACGAATTCTAAGGAAAATGAATCCACTTATGGGGCTAAGAAGTCCAAAATTCTTAAAATCAACGAACACAAGCACAACAAAAAAACACGTATGAATTCGAAGTTTATTTAACTATCTTATGGAGCTAAAATAGCTTCAACAAAAACCGGATTCTACATAACAACCTACTTATGAATTTGTAACAATTCAATCAATTCAACAACAACTTGTGCAATAATTGAAGTAAATAAGAAAGATTCAATTCTCATTCATAAGGGATTATATATAAATATTAAAAAAACCAAAAAAGAAGAACACCAACCATTTTTTTAATTTACGAAATTAACACAACAAGCAAACAAACAAATTGTAAATTGAATCAAAAACAAACTTTGTTAAAGAGCATCCCACATCGGAAAAGTGTGAGGAAATTAATCGGTATATAAGCTCTTGAGTTGAACTAACTAATCGATTGGATTCAATCTTTTAATGTGGTTCAACCCAAGTGTCTTATTGCCCATTCCAATTGTCCCTACCTCATACTAAATTTTATCATGGTATCGGAGCAGGTTTTGCCCCACCTCGTTTGTCAAGGTGTCTGTCTAGACGTTCATTTCTTGCGGCCCGTTTGTCTTTAGCCCAGTGTTCCGTATGGAGCATGTACCCAACGGCCTGTGGCCCATTTAACACGATTGCTCGTCTGGAAGTCCATACTCAGCGGCTCGTGGTCCTTTAGGTGTTGGCGCTAAAAAAAAAGTTAAGGGAATGGAAGTTCATTTGCAAGTGGTCAACCGGTTAGATTCAAAATGGCCCGGTTGTCCACTTGAGGGGGAGTGTTAAAGAGCTTCCCACATTGGAAAAGTGTGAGGAAATTAATCGGTATATAAGCTCTTGAGTTGAACTAACTAATTGAGGGGGAGTGTTAGAGAATGTATTCATCGCAATCACATCATCACAGCTTATGTTCTCACACGATTCCAAACAACAGATATTTTCACTAAAGCTCTTCCTGGACCATTATTCCATTCTTTGTTATCCGAGTTGGGCATTTTTGATATTCATGCTCCAACTTGAGGGGGAGTATTAGTGTATTAGTGTATATATATTCTTCATGTATTTGTATTCGAGCTCCTCGATTGTATCACCAGAGGACTCCTCGTTTCTATCTCCTGTGTACATTTATAGTGGTCTTTGTATCAATGAATCAAGCAAGCATTTCAGTTCCAACCTAGTCGTCCACAGCTGTTCCTCTAGTCACGTCTCAGCCCACCACCACCACTCCACAACCGCAACATACATCATCCACCGACTCTTCTCCATCGTTGTCTCCTTTGGTGTCTTCATCCTCCAACAATGAGGACAATCCCATCACCTCTCCATCACCGTCACCTCCTCCCCTTCCACCACAAACTCGGGGTCCTCCCTCCCATTTCAGTGACTATATTCTTCATTCTGCCAAAGTCGACACTCTGATCCCGTCTTTATCTGGTTTGTCTTCATCAAGTACACGATTTCCCTTTACTCACTTTATTCATTATAACAAATTGCATGACAGGTACAAAAGTTTCTTGGGCGCAATTGATGCCTCTCCCACTCCTAAAGCTTTCAAAGAGGCTGTTCAGTATGCTTTGTGGTGTGAGGCTATGGCTCAAGAGTTCTTGGCTCTAGAGCGTAATCATACTTGGGATATTAGTGACCTCCCTCCTAACTGGCGTGCCCTGGATTGTCAATGGGTGTACAGGACCAAATATAAATATGATGGTACCAAGGAACGGGATAAAGCTCGGTTGGTTGTATTGGGAAATCACCAGGAGTTTGGGATTGATTTTACTGATACTTTTGCTCCCATGGAAAAATTAGCCACTGTTCATGTGTTATTGTCTGTTGCAGTGGCTAGGGGTTGGCAGGTAGGTCAGTTCGACGTCAACAATGCCTTCTTACATGGGGACCTTCGTGATGAGATCTATGTGAAGATTCCTCCTGGATATGAGCAGCTGTTTCTTGGGAAGGTTTGCCGTTTGCGCAAATCATTATACGGGCTCTGTCAGTCTCCCCGCAATTGGTTCACTAAGCTTCGTATAGCCTTATGCTGTTATGGTTTTCATTAGGCTCATGCAGACCATACTCTTTTTGTGTTATGTCGTGGGTCGGATATGTTGGTGGTTTTGGTCTATGTCGCATGTGGATGATGTTAGTCGGTTTAGTCGTTGTGCCCACGAGAGATTATCATAGAATTCATACACAAGCTCATCATACACCAATTCATCTATTGCAACAAATCCTAGCAACCCTTAAAGCGTAAGAACCGAGATAATGAATTGGGGGAAATCCGGTAGGTTTAGAATTTTACGTGGAGCAATTGTTCTCTTGTTGGTGTCCTTCTTGGGAGCCATGGAAGGTGAGTTCTTGAAGCTTGGATTCCTTGATTTCTTGAAAGATTGAGAGAGAGAGCCGAAAATGAAGAATTGCAGGCGTTGGACGGAAGAGACGAAGTGAGCTGCGGTTGAGTAGATCTAAAAGAATAGGGTTTTGACCGTTTAAATAGGAGTCGACCGTCGGAAGGCAACGGTCCATCACCTCAACCGTCGACGCCTATTTAAACGGTCAAAACCCTATTCTTTTAGATCTACTCAACCGCGGCTCACTTCGTCTCTTCCGTCCAACGCCTGCAATTCTTCATTTTCGGCTCTCTCTCTCAATCTTTCAAGAAATCAAGGAATCCAAGCTTCAAGAACTCACCTTCCATGGCTCCCAAGAAGGACACCAACAAGAGAACAATTGCTCCACGTAAAATTCTAAACCTACCGGATTTCCCCCAATTCAATATCTCGGTTCTTACGCTTCAAGGGTTGCTAGGATTTGTTGCAATATATGAATTGGTGTATGATGAGCTTGTGTATGAATTCTATGATAATCTCTCGTGGGAAACTAAGGTCAATGAAGATGAAGAAGAAACTCCTTTTCTCAAATCTAGGGTTAAGAACAAAACTATAAATCTTGGAATTTAGGAAATTTGTGAATGTTTTGATATTGTTGATAACCGTGATGGATTTGAAACGTATGATAGGAAGGGTTGGGGCATCAAGGGTGATACTCTAGCTAGTTGTATTGATAAGCTACACAATGGAGTTGAATATTCCGGAATTGTTAGGCCTAAAAGAGAATTTTTGAATGTTAATCAACAAATTCTTTTGAAAATCTTAAAAGAATGTCTTTTGCCTACCGGAAGCAACGATTCCATTGTTCGTATGCTCGAGTGTGCCATTGTCTATCTCTTGGAAGTGGAATCCCTTGTTAGGTTCCCTATGATGATGATGAACCATATGTGGATTCACAAGGGTTATGGACAACTTCAATATGAAATGGCGTTGACCAAAGTGTTCCGAAGGGCCAAAATCAAGCTTGAAAAATACCAACGAAGGAACTATGAGTACAAGAAGATGGATGCCACAAGTCTTCGACGGTCAAAGATCTTTCAACACTTTGACAGATTTCACACCAAAGCTTCCTACAACCGAATTTCGGTAGGAGAGAGAAACCGATGGAGACGTGAGCACATTTTAAGTAAATTTGCAAGTTCTTCCTCTTCAAATCCCTGTCCAAGCGTTGAAGTTCCTCCACGTACTTCTTCCATGCCTCGCTCCCGTTCTACAAATGCAAAAATCGATCCTTCCTTGAAGAAGTACATGGATGAGAAGATAGCCCAAATGGAGGAAAGCATCACAAAGAAGGTAACCAAGTCCGTGACAAAGAAAATCTTTGACAAAATGAGTAAATGGATTGGTAGGCCTAAATCTCCGTCGTCCACGTCTTCTTCTTCGGGAGAAAAGAGAAGAGCAAAGAAGAAATCCAAAGGACCAATCATTGAGGAAGTTGTTGAAGAAGACCCCGAAAGAATCAACGAGGAAAATTTGCAAAAAGGGATTCGGGAAAGCCTAGCCAAACATCGTCATAGCGTAAGCTCATTTCCTCCGATGAATCCCTTATCCACGTTTGAATACGGAAATCCCTCCTCCTCACATGTGAATGTTGATGGTTATGATGATGATGATGACATTGACAACATGGCAAATGTTGATAATTATTATTATTAAATTTCATTTACTCTTATTTTGCACAATATGTTCAAACTTTGGTACTTTTTGATGACTTTGTGCTGAATGTGAAATTGCCTTCATTGACTATCTTGAATATTTTTAAATTTAGTATCAAAATCATTAATAGGTTCTGCTGGAGTGCATGAAATCTAATAATCATAAAAAAAAGGAAATTCTTAGCCTTGGTATGCCAAGAGGAAAACTAAAATATGGCACAAATAGGGGGATGGCTTTTGAAGAAACTCTACACTTTTTATCAATCCTTTTTGCTCTTGACAAATAGGAGGAGAAATATGTGTACTTCAAAGTGACATTTTTTTTCTCTCAAAGTTTTTATGTGTTTTATACATATTAAATGATCATCAAGTCTTCATAAACACATGGAAAATACAAAGTGAGAATTTTTTAATGCTATGTTTTAGGGGGAGCTTGCATGAATCCTTTACTCCTACCTAAATCTCACTTTGAAGAAAATTATTTGTCAACATAAAAAAGGGGGAGATTGTTAGCTTTGGTATGCTTAATCTCATTTTTTATGTTAACAAATAATTTAATTGAGCTAACGTTTGTTCAATTGTGTAGAAACGACAAAATCCACTAAAACGCGTTGATTGCGTCAATACGTTCGCTCACACAGGACTAGCATAGAATAGCTTAGAGTCATTTATTGTTAAAGATATTTGAATGATATATCTCTAAGCTCAAGCTAGAATTTGCACAAACACAAAAAAGATTTTTACTTGGGTATTAATTTTAAAATACATTTGGTAAATATTTTCGAAAAATATATTTTTTTCAAAAATATTTAACTAAAGTTATAACTCTTCTCAATACTAGATCACCGTTTCTTGAATTACTCAATTCTGATTAGTATTGAAAAAGTTATTCATTTTACCAAAATTATTTCAAAATTGCGCACTCAGTAACGAACGGTCGATGTGGTGAACCGTTACACCTAGACGGTCGACCGTCCTACTGACCGTTGGAGGAATCTGAACGTTACTCCGAACGATCGACCGTTTGGATTGAAACGGTCGATGTAATGGACCGTTCGGAGACCAGATTCTTTAATTCTCTTCTTTTTTCACACCCAACGGTTGGATTATTCTTCTCTAACATCTATTTTTCAATTTCAAACAACTCCTAATCCATCCCTATAAATACCCAAACCATTTCAATGTTTTTAATCATTCAAGCCTTGCTAAAATCTCTTAATTCTTTCTTCTTGTGTTCATAAAAATCTCTGATTTTTATTAGGCTATTAAAGAGCCATTTCTTCTATATATTTTCTTGAACACGCATTGAGCTTGATTCAAAAGAGATATACACTCATATTATCTATAAGAGAGTTGTAATTGTTAGAGTGTATAGAAATCATCACACCAACCCAATCTTGTATTTCATATTCTTGAGGTGGTGTTCATTTATTCAAGTTATCATATCCTTGTAATACGTTGAAGATATCCGTTGTAAAATCTTCATTGAGACGGTTGGAGATAGCCGTGGTGAAATCTCCGGAAGCAGTCAAGGACATCCGTGAAATCCTTGTTGAGACGGTTGGAGATAGCCGTTGCAAATCTCTAGGTTGAAGACATTCTGCAAATCTTTGGTGCACGGTTGGGGATAGCCGTTGGAAAATCCTCAAGCTAGTTGGATACTTTAAGGCGTGAAGTATTGTCGATCTAGTGTAAACCTATTGGCAAAGGTTTGTTTGCCAAAGACTGGTTCCCTCGTGACGATCGTATTGAGACGGTCAAGGCGTTCTAGTGGATTGAAAATCCTTAAGGAGGAGCCTTAAGGTACTGGAGTAGGGAGTTCCCGAACCAGTATAAAATCGGTGTGCATTTACTTTACGCTTTTACTTTTGCATTTTATATATTGCTTCCGCATTTGTCAACACCGTTTTTATTAAACTCCAAAAAGTTTTTAAACGCCTTATTCACCCCCCTCTAAGGCGTGGGCACAACGACTAAACCGACTAACAGATGACATTCTTATTGCTGGTAATAATCCTTCTCTGTGTTCGTCATTCAAGAAATATTTAAATGAATGTTTTCATCTCAAAGATCTTGGACCCATTTCCTATTTTTTGGGCATCGAGTGTGCTCAATCTCGAGAAGGCATGGTCCTGAATCAACGTAAGTATGCTCTTGATATTATCCAGGAGGCATGGTCTTGTGGGTCGTTTGTTATATTTGACTATTACTCGTCCAGATATATGCTATGCCGTGCATGTCTTGTCTCAGTTCATGCAGTCTCCACATTTGGATCATTAGTTCGCTGCCTTGCGTGTGGTTCCCTACCTCAAAGGCCATCCTGGACAGGGTATTTTGTTACGCAGTGACAGTAACCTTGCTCTGACTGCCTTTTCAGATTCAGATTGGGCAAGTTGTCCACTGATGCGTCGTTCTGTTACCGGTTACTTTATCTTACTTGGAGGGTCACCCGTCTCTTGGAGAAGTAAGAAGCAGAATACAGTATCTCGATCTTTCGCTGAAGCTAAGTACCGGGCTATGGCGAACGCCTGTAATGAGATTCGTTGGCTACGGGGTCTCCTCGCCACTCTATATGTCCCATGTGTTGTCACTCCTAAATTATATTGCGATAATAAATCTGCTTTGTTTATTGCTGCTAATCCTGTGTTTATGAACGTTCGAAGCACATTGATATTGATTGTCATATTTTCAGAGAATGTATTCAGCGCAATCACATCGTCACAGCTTATGTTCCCACACGATTCCAAACAGCAGATATTTTCACTAAAGCTCTTCTTGGACCATTATTCCATTCTTTGTTATCCAAGTTGGACATTTTTGATATTCATGCTCCAATTTGAGGGGGAGTATTAGTGTATATATATTCTTCATGTATTTGTATTCGAGCTCCTCGATTGTATCACCAGAGGGCTCCTCGTTTGTATCACCAGAGGGCTCCTCGTTTCTATCTCCCGTGTACATTTATATAGGTCTTTGTATCAATGAATCAAGCAAGCATTTTAGTTCCAAAATTTTACATTTACATAGAGTTGGAGAAAAAAATAAAAATTGACAAATAAGGGTTACCAATTTGTTGAAGAGGATGAAGGAATTGAAGAATTGAAGCTTGGAGGAACCATGAACGGTGTTAGAGACCGCCGCCCATCGTCGACCGGAGCTACAGCCGTTATCGTCGCCGCCGCTGGTTGTTGCCTCCTCCACCGCCCACCACCATCGGAGCTGCGTAGATAGCAGCGGCTAGAGCCACTGCTTTATTCTCTATGATTCCCTCCTTTGGCTGCGACTGCACTTCCATTTATACACGGAGGATTGATCCGTTGATATCTTCCCGTTGGAGAATTGAATGACGAAATTGATGGAGAGACGCAGGAGGCTTGGTCGTCGGCGTTACTCTTTGACGAAGAATGAGTTGTAAACTTTTCTTTATTCTTTTCCTTGTGCGTGAAACTGAAATGGAGAGAGATGTGATGGGCTTATCCTTTAATGCTGGGTTTTGGGCTCCGGCCCAAATTCAATCTCTTTTTTGCAATCTGGCCTTTTGCTACACTTTTCTCCACAAATAAGATATCTGATAATTTTGGGTTAGCAAAAAATAAAATAAAATAAAATAATAAAACGTAAAAAATGATTAAAAACTACAATTTTTGAAAGAAAATAAATAGAATTTAAAAATAAGAACTGAAATAAAACTAAGCTAACAAACTAAAAACTAAACTCTAAAATTATTTAAAATACCTAAAAAAGAATAAAAAGAACTAAACCAAACCCAATTTATCAACATCTAATGCTTGATTTTGTATATAGATTTGAAATTCACGTTTGAAGTTTGGTATGATTGATTACGTGGTTTAGTTGTTATTAATTGAATTATGATTCTTTAATATGATTTATTGAAATTGACAGATCGATGAAGAACGAGGCATGTTTTCTATCCCTAATTATGTGGTAATGTGTATAATTAGCCCTACGAATGTTATATATATTGTTAATTGACGAATCAACGAAGCATGCCTGTTTCTGCTAAATTTTCGAGTTAGTGTGTGTTAAAGGAACCAAACGGTACCAAGGTACTGGTCGACGATACCGAGGTACCGTACCCCAAACCCCCTTTGTTTTGACCTGGAGCCGGCATCTTGAACCCGGCGGTATTCTAGTACCGTGCCGACGGTACCCTGGTACCGTCTGGAGGTATCGAGGTACCGTCACTACAAGAAAATATCGATTTTGCAACCAAAAAATTGCAACGGACGTATTTCCATAGCAGAATTGCAACGGTTATTTTCAACGGAATTTTGTTTGCAACAGATTGTTTGCAACGAAAAGTGAAAAAATGCGTTGCAATTATGGCGGGAGGTTGGCGCCATTTTCCGGGAACGTTATGCAACAGATTTTCACAACGGGTTTTCATTGCAGAGTATTCGCAACGGATTTCTGCAACAACGTTTTCGTTGCAGATTATTCACAACAGTTTCGTGCAACCATTTTCTGTTGCCACCTAGCTGTTTTGTATATAAAATTGCTATGTAAATTGGTATTATTGTATCCAACTCCGTTCTAGTGTATTTGTCCGGCCAGTTTGACTTTTTTGAGTCAAACTGGACAAACGTTGAACTCCAATTACTCTCAATTTATAATGCATATATATTAGCATAATGAAATACAAATTTGAAAGTTCTCAATACGATAAATCCAATAAAGTTATTTTTATTTTAAAAATACATTACGATTTTTATTTAATTGAATCTCAAAAATTGTCCAGTTTGACTTCAAACAGTCAAACTCGACAAATACACTAGGACGGAGGGAGTATATTTTATTTATAATAGTGACATTAATTAGTTTTGGCGATTTTATTAGTTAGTGCATATCATCAACTCGTCATAAATCGATTTCTTGTTTTAATTAATTTACGTAATTAATTAGATTATACAAATAATTGAATAAACCTTATAAAAAGGGAATAACCTAGCTAATTAATAGGATGTGTGGAGTTCATGTTTGTTCAACAACTTTAAAAATTTCATGGCGGGGGTCCGAGGGCGGCAGCCCCTGGTAGCGGGGTCCAATGGGCGGTAGCCCCTGGCGGGGTCCAAGGGGCAGAGACCCTGGCTGGGGTCGAGCTAGAACGTTGTTGTTTTATGAAAATTCTTTTAATTTTTTTTGTTTGGAGTCTAAAATGAAGTCCAAAATGAATTGAGTAAATATATTCAAAATAAGAAGTAATCCTTTTAAAAAAGTAATCATTTTAAAAAAGAATCTAAAAAAAGTAATCCTTTCAAATAATAAAAGCAACACTTATATTAAAAAACCTAAATAAAAAAATTGACTCCTTCATCGCCTAAAAAACGGAACACACGCCTTCCTATTAATCGACTGAGCAACCGCAACTCTTCATCTTTTTCTCTCCCATCTACGTGTCGGCCGACGATTGTCATAGAGTTCTCAAATTAGCTCCAATCAATTCCAATCAAAGTTGAGGTGAGTAATCCAATATTTGATTTCATATTATTACCTTCGTGTTTTTGGTTTTCTAGTATTTGTGTTTCTATAGATTTGTGATGTGCTTGGAGTTGGTGTTTGGATGCTACTCGGACGGAATTGAAGGGGTCTAGTTTTGGAACGGTGGGCTGGGATTTGAACTGGTGATCATGGTAGCATTAACATAACCCTAGTATTTTGTATTTTAGATTTATAGCTCAATCTTTATGAATGATTTGAAATGTTTTATATGTACAAATATTATTTCTCTAGGTAATTTGTATGTTGGTTCTAATTGATTTTATTCACATTTTGTAATATTATGTACAGGCGACATATGATGCGATGGAGCAGGTCACACAACGGGATAATGTTCAAGCATCCGAGAAGGAGTTGTACTATGCCTCAGTTGATGGACATGATGCTAAAAAACGTGTCTTTGGTCTAGGAAAGATGTCCAAGACCATGCGTCATGAGAAATTGACTTCCAAGCGCCGTCGTATGAGTACGAGTTCTGCTGCTGAATCATATGCTGCCTCTCAACTGTCTATCGTAGAATCTCTTAAGGGAGATATCATCCAGATGCTTTGTGAACCTATTGCCCAAACAATCATGGAAGAGATGCATAGATTGTTTGGAGATCGCTTTCCCCGTAGAGAGGACGGAGGAGATGGTGGTGGAAGTGCACCTCAAAGTTAGTGTAATGGTTTAATTTTTTAAATAGAAACAATAGACATTTTTTTGTGTGACAAGTATATTAACTCTTATTTTAGAATATGAAAAATATTATATTGAATTGAAACTCTTATATTGTGGATTACGTATGTGTTATATTATGTTTAATTTGAGGATACTCCTTACATTTATTTGATGGTTAATCTTGCGCAAAACTGAGGGTGAACGTAGTTTCATCATGCGTTGGTTGTTTTCAACTCATGCAACGGAATAGTTTGTTGCATTTGGATGTGACTATTTTTTTGTAGCAAATATTGCAATGGAATATTTGTTGCATTTTCCCATTGCAATATTCTGCAACGGAAAAGGCATTGCAAAGTTCGGTTGCATCACCTTGCAACAGAATTTCTGTTGCAGCTCTTAGCAATGACATTTCAGTTGCAATTTGTCGTTGCAATAATATGCAACTAAAAAGAAGTTGCAAAATTCCGTTGCATTACGTTGCAACAAGAATTCCGTAGCAGGAGTTAGCAATGTCATTTCCATTGCAAATTCCCGTTGCAAATCCTTGCAACGACAATTTCTGTTGCAATTTTCCGATGTAATGCCAATGCAACGGATATTCCGTTGCAAAAAGGAATCTGCAACAATGGTTTTTGCAACAGCAAATTTGCAACAAAATTTCCTTTGCAATTGGCCATCAGCAATGGAATACGATGAATATTGCAACGGATTTGGCCGTTGCAATACAGACCATTTCTTGTAGTGCGTGAAGCGTACCGAACCGAAAGCTACAGTTTTTGTTACTTGTTTATTTAACCCGATTTGGAACCCAAATTGACTCCAAGCCCTTATGTGTTACATGACTCTAAGTGGAAGGTGTTGACACCTCACATTAGGCCGCTATCTGGATTACATGATGATTAGCTATTTCTACTTTCTTTAATTTAGTTATTGTGGATATAATGTGTTGTGCCTCAAACGGATTAGACAAATTGAGGTTGTTGATAGCTTGGACTTGATTAATTAAAGTAAGTGAATGACGTAGGTTACCTAAAAGAACTCTAGGGCTTCTTTGTGAGAATTGAGAATGTGATATGACAATAGATGTAGAGCCTCGTGGACTTAGTCTAGTGGCATTCAGGTAAAGATGTACGTACATGGAATCTGAGACTTTATCCATAGGATTGGAGGTTCCACCCAACTGGAGCCGTAGGTACTGGGTTGACCAGAATCATGGTCGTAGGTAGTGGTTCTGATGCTATAAGATAGACTTGAGTCATGGCCGTAGGTAGTGGCTCTAAGTCTTGAGATAAGAATGTGGATAATGACGAAATGACTTTTGCCTAGAATAGGTTATGAGTTAGTGTTTCATATGCGCTATGGTAATAACTTGGATATTGTGATAACAACATATGCAGGTGAAGAACTAAGGTAAGTGATCTGAAGCATGTTGTGATAACGTTGTCGTATCTGATAGTTGTTATGTGTTATTATTATTGTTAAACTTGTGTGCATGATATTATATATGAAGTTATGAGCTAGTGGGTTCATCTATGTGCGTAATTGAAACATTAGTTCTTTCTCACTTAGCTTCAATGCTGAGCGTGTAGCCCCTTTTTCCTATTGCTACACGTAGGTAACATGATAGATAAATAAAGAAATAATCTGAAGGGCAACGAGGAAGAGAGATGGATGGATGCTGGCTGGAGGAGTTATCTAGTTTAATATTATAATTGAATTAATTATGTTTTTAAGGGCAAGAACCTAAAGTTGTATTTTAATTAATTGCTTAAAGGCTTCCGCACCGTTTTCTTAAATCCGATGGATATTTAAATATTGTTTTTGAACTAAATGTTTTAAATTATTTCGAATAGTATTGTGTTTGATGCTAATTTAGTAGTAACCCGGTTCGCTAACTCGTTGGTTCGTGTTACGCGAGTTTTGGTGTTACAATCCTTGTCGTTCCTATCTTCTTCGACGCCATGTATGTGTGCGACGCCGGTAGTGGTATTCCGATCCGCCCTAAAGTTCATCGCCGATGGAGTACAACGACTCCGGTCCTTCCCAGTTATCGACGCCGCATACGCCCACCTTAGCCGCGTGTGAAGTCAACACCACAACCCCAATCTTTGTCGCCTCCAATTTCAAGGTTTTACTTCATCCTTAAAAAACTCTAATTGTTGAATTATGTGAATTTCTTTGCATATCTCTTGAAAATACTCTAAATTCTTCAATTATGTGAATGAAAATATTTTAATTGTGCAATTATGTGGATTTATTTGCTTAACTTTTATTACCTCCATTTGATTTTTGATTTTATATATTTTTATCGTTCTCCTTTTAGATCAGATTTTTATATAATTTGTTTGGGCTCAAAAATACGGAGTATAAAAGAATCAAAATTATGCTTTACTAGTTTTTTTTATGTTCACGCCTAATAGTTTTAAAGTACGTTTGATTGTAGAAATTTGGGGACTTTTTTAAAGTTTTTTTTATTTTGGAACTAGTATTATGGAATACAAATATGTTTAAATAAATTTACATTAAGATGCAGAATTGATAAGTCTGTTTTGTACACACTTATCTTCTCCGTATTTAATATGTTATTGTGGAATTTTGGATCAATGAAGACAATTTCTCAATTATTTTTATAAGTTTTTTTTATAAATGAAAAATTGCACAAAGTTATGTCTTGTTGTAAAAAGAATAAAAGTTGAGTCAAAAGTAGTACAAAAGAGGGTGAAAGTTGGAAATTGCATAGCATCAAGATAATTGAGGTCAAACTTGAAGAAAAAATTTTCAAGATAAAGATCACAAGAAAAGAAAGATATTGAACAGGGTCTTGAAGCAAAAAGAATAGAAGAAAATGATGAAAAATGAAGTTTTGGGCCGAAAGCATATCAAAAATTCAATCACGGAAAATCAAGAATCTGGTTCAAGCCCCCGCCTGGACCTCAGGCCCACGCTTGCCGGAGGCCTGAACCAATTTTCTCCTATAAAAGCAAGGTTTTGCCCCTTCATTCTCCAACCAACCAATTTTGGGTCTTCTAAGGCCTAAAACTCCATTCTTTGCTCTTTTCTTAGTTATATTTTAATATTTTAGTTTAGCTTTGTTCCGGTTGTCCTAAAGTGGCTCCGACTCTGCTTTTTGTTGTAAGTTTTAAATCTTGCAATTTTAATAAAATATTTTCTTTTCCATGCACTATTAATTTAATTTTTCTCAAAAGCACCCAATAGGAAGACCTTCAGATTTTATTTTTATATTCAAATTAAAACGGGAAGACCTTCAAACCTGTCAAAACCTTCTTCTACTTAGAAAAAAATTGCTAATTCCCTTCGTCCACTCCTTGAGAGACACGAAACTCGAAGAAAACTAATCCTTCAATGAGAAGGTTGACTTACTGAAAAACTCAATCATCAAATGGCGCCGTTGCTGGGGAGTGACACGGTTTTAGTTTTTTAAAGCTTGGGTGAAGACCGGTTAGGTCGATCTTCTCACATCTTTTCCACAAGCCACCCATACTAATCATTAAAAACGGATTTTCGAGATGGTTACTGCAATTCACCTCCTTTCCACCAACCACCCAACTATCCATCATCATTTTCCCAACAGTCTAGTTACTACCCACCATATTATCCACATCAGGACTCCTATTATGATTACTACTCAGTCAATAGTGGACCTGATTATTATGTTGGCCTTGAATGCTGTACCCCGTAACCGTTTTGATGTGCCAAATAAGTCTTCCAATGCTACTAATTAACGTCATTTGCAGGAAGAAACCAAATGCCAAACCTCCATTAACTTGATTAGCATCACCGAGATGTACTCCTACGAGTTTAGAAATAATTGTGTAAAGGTAATGACTTATGCCCTTTCACTCAAAATATTAATTCTAAAATGTCAAATATATTCTTAGTTGGGGTTATTTTAGAAATGAAACTTAAAATCAAGTTTTGGAAAAATCACAGGACCTATGGTACCTGGCTACCGTGTTCACCCTATCAATGTACCGCCGGTAGCCAAGTGAATGTACCGTGTACGTTTCACTTGGTTGGTACACGGTACCCCCTACTGTTGTCATGGTACCTGGGTACCATCGCCAGGCTTGGGACGGTAGGCCAGACCGTTTGATCCTAGATACTGCCAGAGCCAAACTCATTTCATGGCCTATAAGGTACCCCTGGCAGTAGGCTGTACCGTGGTCACGGTACCTAGGTATCGGACGGTACTACCCCTACCATGAAGGGTACCGTAATCGTTGTAATCACTATAGCTAATTTCCAATTTAAATTCAAATTACCCCAAATCACTCCCTAACGGTCTTCAATGTTAAAAACCCATATTTTAACCTTCCAAACTCCTATATAAACCCCCTCTAAGTCTCATTTATCATACAACAAATTTTCAACTATATCTAAAGCCTTTTTCTCTATTCTTGAGTGTTTCTTAAAGATTTGTTCAAATTTTTCTTACTCTTTTGAGTATAAGCTTTCATTATTTTTATACACTCACACACTAGGCATTTGTTATTCATTATTTTATATCTTGCTACATGCTTTTGTTATTGTTGATTTGATATTTAGTTCTTGTTCTACCCAATTCATATTTGCTATTATTTTGGTGGAGAAATAACAACAATCTTTTATTAATTTGCAAAAGGTGTGGATAGCCTTTAAATCCTCATTGTAAGGTTGAAGATAGCCTCTAAATCTTAAGTTGTAAACGGTTGAGATAGCCGGTGTAAAATCTCATTAGCCTATTGGCAAGGGTTGTTTGCCAAACCTCGTTTGAGTCTTCTTAGTGAAGCTAAACAAGTTAGTGGGGGTTAAATCCTTGAGGAGGAGCCTCGAGGTACTTGAGTAGGGAGTTCCCGAACAAAATATAAAATCGATAGTAGTTCTTGTCAAGGTTAAATCCTTGAGGAGGAACCTTTTTTGTCCTTGTCAAGGTGTTCGGACGTGCTCATGGGCATTCCCATTGCCTTGGTGTTTTCCATTTCAAACCTTTTTAGTAGTTCTTTGCAATATTTGGTTTGGCAAATGAAGGTTCCATATTTCATTTGCTTGACTTGTAAGCCCAGGAAGAATGTTAGTTCTCCCATCATTGACATCTCGAACTCATTTGTCATTATCTTGGAAAATTCATTGCACAAAGATTCGTTAGTAGCACCGAAAATATTATCGTCTACATAAACTTGAACCAAAAGAATGTTATTGTTTTTACTCTTGATGAAAAGTGTAGTATTAACCTTTCTCCTTTGGAAACCACTATCCAAGAGAAATTTGCTCAAACATTTCTACCAAGCACGAGGCGCTTGTTTATGACCGTAGAGCGCTTTCTTGAGTTTGAAGATATGATCGGGATACTCAAAGTCTTCAAAACGTGGGGGTTGGTCAACGTTCACTTCCTATTGAATAAAACCATTAAGGAAGGCACTCTTAACGTCCATTTAATAAAGTTTAAAATCTATAGACGAAGCATAGGCAAGAAGTAAACGAACAGCTTCTAAACGTGCTACGGGTGCATAAGTTTCTACAAAATCTGTAACGCCCTGCAACCCGGTCTAATAGAATTGGTTAATTTAATTAATTAATTACTGTTCTGGACCAGAGTCGGGAAAATGAAAAGTTCTTAGGAAAATTATTTGATCATATTATTAAATTTGTCTTGACTCTCTGATTCTAGAAACGCAAACGGATTTCAATTCGGACCCGCTTGGGGAAAAAGCGCGTACCGTTCAGGTCAGATTTTTACATAACGGAGTGAAAATATATTTGTAACCCCCCATGCCTTTGGTTCAGCTCCCTCACTATCCCCATCATTCCCATTTAATATCTTCTTAAATCACCATAAAACATCACTCTTATTATTCTCTTGTGTTAACCCCCCATTGTGAATTCAATCATCAACTCCATCAATACCATTCATCTTCTCTCCTTCTCTCATTTTCGGCCAAGATAAGCAGCAGCCCAGGAATCTCCGGTGAAACTCCGGTGCGTGCAAGGTTGAAGGAGAAGAAGAGTTAGGCCGTTCGTGCGAAGCGTATCGTCGGTTGTCCGTTCATTAACACCATTCGTTCATCTCGTTCAATCAATCCCTCCATTTAGAGGTGAGTACTTGTCCCTCTAATTCTACAACATTTAGTTATAATCTATGTCTTTATATTCATAGGAATATCGTACGCAACCTACGTAGAATCTATGCATGCTCGTAGGTTAACAATCAAACATACGAGAGTCCGTGTTATCAAGTTACGAACTCGTTAATACAAGCATTTTGAAACTCCGTATATTCATGGAATACTTAACATGTAGTCATAAACGTTCGTTCAAAGAAAACTACCAACGTATTGATGATAACCAAACCGTCAAAATGGGAATCAGCGTGCCTTGGTAATCGATTTACAGAACGGAATAATCGACTATCCGGTCACGCTGAACTCCTCAGTTGATCCAGCATAGTGTGACAATCGATTATCACATAAGTGGTAATCGATTATCAGACCCTGCGGATTCTTGAGTCAGAGCTGGTTCACTTGACAATCGATTATCTCAGAGCAATAGTCGATTATCAGGTCTCTCTGAACTTAGGACTTTTCTGATAAACCAACTTGACAATCGATTGTCATAGGG